CTCTCTCTGAGACCTCTGACCACAAGGTTCTTGCCATGGATGCTAAGCTTGGTTTCGATGACAACGCCGAGTTCCGTCAAAAGGAGGTTTTCGAATGGCGTGATACTACCCAAGAGGATGCTGAGGAAGTCCGTGCCGCAGAGTCTGGTCTTAACTTCATCAAACTCGGTGGTGACATCGGATGTTTGGTAAACGGTGCCGGTCTTGCTATGGCTACTATGGATATCATCAAGCTTAACGGTGGTGAACCAGCTAACTTCCTTGATGTCGGAGGTGGAGCTACCCCACAAGCTATCAAGGAGGCTTTCACTCTCATCACCAGTGACCCCAAGGTTACTGCTATCTTCGTTAACATCTTTGGTGGTATTGTTCGTTGTGATGCTATTGCTCAAGGTCTCATCAGCACTGTTGAGAGCATGAACCTTAGAATCCCAATTATTGCAAGATTGCAAGGAACAAACATGGAAGCTGCACACAAGTTGATCAACGAGTCTGGTCTTAAGATTTTCTCCATTGATGACTTGCAAAGCGCAGCTGAGAAGGCTGTCCAATTCTCAAAGGTTGTGAAGATGGGTGAGTTCACTTTCAATCCAAATTCGTTGATGATTGATGCTAACATATAAATCAGCTCGTGATATCGATGTTGGTGTTGAGTTTTCTTTGGGCATTTAAGCGGTTACATAGATGGGTTTTCTCTTGTTTGTATTGATTCCCTCCGTCTTTAGATCAATGGGTGACCGGGGCTGAGTTACCATGTATAATGCATTGAGTTTCATGTCCACATTTGTTATCTTTAGTTTTTATTCTGTGAAATATTTTGAAATTTGTGACGATCACATTCTTCTTGAAACTTGGAAGACTACTAGGCGTAATGCGATAACCTATAGATAGAAAGAATGGATGACGATAGCTCTGCCGAAAACATTTTTAGACATAACAATTCCAACCACGAACTTTATTGATTGAAACAAATCTTCTTGATTCCACGAGGCCACCAATCCATCCATCCATCACTCGTTCATCTCTCCGCCTCAACCCCACCATCAAAGACTCTTAAGTTCACAATCAACAAATTCCCAATCCCCAAGCCAAAGCCAAACAATAAGCACTTCTCCTTCATCCCCATCCTCCACCAATCATCTCATACTCCTAGAATACCCAATCGCAATCACATACGCCGGTTCCATCCCCATCCCCATCTCTCCCTCTCCATTTCCATATCCAATCCCAATCCATATCTCCTCCCCCACTCCCGTCTGCCCCCTTCGCAGAAACCCCCCAAACTACAAAAGCAATCCCCACCGCCAGCCAATCAATCTCCCTCACTCTCCTCCCCAAACCTCGATAACATGGCTGCAGCATTGCGAGGATATGGAGAATGGCCAAAGGGATGATATTCCATAGAAGTAGGATTGTGGTGTAGAAACGGAGGGTGTAGGGCGCGAGCGCGAAGAGGATAGTACGGGGGAGAGAGTGAGGAGTGCAGGGAGAGAGGTGTGGAAGGGATTGGGGATTGTAGGGGGACGGGAGAGGTGGAGTTGTGTGAGGTAGAAGGGGGTTGGTTGGAGGGGGGGAGAGGGTGGAGGGGGGATGAAGGGGGGGACGAGTGGGTGGGCGGGGTATTGGGGGTTGTGGAGGAGAGGGGAGAAAGGGCGAGTGGCGCGGTAGCCGGTGGTCCAGGAGAGGGGGGTGTAGGGTGTGTATGTGTATGTGTTTGTGTATGGGGAGATGGATCTATTGTTTGACTGGCTGGGAGACATTTGAGCTAGCTGTGTTTTGTGGGGGAGATGGTAGAAACGAGATGGTTGTGTGGGGTTGGATGAGAGGTTTGAACTGAATGTAGTAAGTAGCTTTTGGATGAGAGATGAGATGAGAATCCCGTTTGAAAAGATAGATAGCTTTGAGAATTCGAGCGGTATTCTCTTTACTTGCTATGGTAATAGGAAGGAAAAATTGGAATAGGGAATAGAGAAAAGGGGGAGAGAGATAAAATACTTATAGACACGAAATCCAGCACAGAGCAGAGATGCTAGAATTTTCTAGTTTTCATTAGAGGAATCTATTTTCTATTTCGAATTTGATCTTGCAGGATAATAGACTTCGCTTCGCTTGATACAGACTCGCTAGTCTGCCTATGAATCCAATGTTTTTTTAATTCAATTTTTTTTATGTTGTGGTGAATGTTTCGTCTTAGGTAGCGAAATTTCCATGCGCGATTGTCACTTGTGGTAGTTCTCGCTTAGATATCTGGGGACTGGTTGCCTTTGGAGCTTTTGATTGTGGTGTTTGTATTGGGTGTTTCGGGGCGAGTTTGAGGGTGAAGATGAAGGCAGAATATATCACCTTGAGATTCCGAGTATGTTCTTCGATCTTTAGAAATAATCACTTCAACGCAGAGATGACACGGAATGTGAGAGATACTGAAAGGGAGGAGAATCTGAAGATGTCGCACTTAGACGTGATTTAGACTTTGAAAGTTTGCATGTGGGATACATAAACTGCAAGGCAGCCATTTGACTCTTAATCATCGGATAGTTCTCTGTATGTTTGTGTAGAAGAAAAAGTTGATTGTCAGCGCTTTAGAATCATAAGAGCGGTCACGTGTCTGATGAGGAAAGAGTTCTCTTTTACAATTGATTGATGGGTTATCACGCTATGGTATCTTCTTGCTTGTTGCGTTGGGTATTAGATCGAAGATGAGGGAAATTGCGAAAGATCTTATGAGCTGGTAAGCATAGAGGGAAATAGTTGGACTTAGACAGAGTGATCGTAGAGTATATGTTATTTCCATAGAAGTGTGAGACCTCAGTCACTTTCAATTGCCATCAGAACTATAACACTTAGTCTATATTTCCCAGCAAAGAGGAAGACTTTACTCTGCTCTGTTACACCGCCTTGTTCTACGAAGCTCAGCGATGAAAAGTCAAGTCTTAGTGCAGTCAAAAATCTTCTCATCGAAATCTGCGATATAAAATCATCGTGACAAATAAAATCAGAAGCTAGTAGCAATATAGCAGTCTCAAGACGCTGCTGCAGACGGGTACGCCGAGAAGTGATTGCCAGAGTGAAAGTGAACATTATGTAAAGAAATTCTGCATATTTGTTACGGGTGATCACTTGAAATTCTATTCAAAATTCAGGTATCTAAGTGGTGAGAATCAGGGAGGAGAGAACTCGAAGGATAATCAATAATGATAACAGTCTTAAAGTGTTCCAAACAAATAACCCACACGTCATATCTATCTTTCAACTCCAACCTTTTATATGATTTTCAAGATAGCACTCTGCATCTAAGCCGAATAACCCGCACCCAAAACACCGCTTGCGTGTTCGTCCACACGCCAGTCTATTTGCTGACCCAAAGACAAAAATGAAGTAAGTAAATCAAGCTTGACTTTGAACTTAGCCATTATCGTGTTGCTTAGCAGTAGCCACAAGGTCCTCGACAAAGTCTCGTGTCAAATTGTATTGAAGCCTCGAAAATTGGCGGAAAACATTACTGTATGAACATTGATCATTAGGATCTAGTGAATAGCTTCAATTCATTAGCTACTGTATTGCAGTCTTTAGCGAATGCAGGATACAGTAGCTTCAAGCGAAAGCAGAAGAGACTAGCTCCTCTTGTAGCGTCTATATAAGACCTACAACTTCCTGTAATTAGCTAGCTCTTTAGATAGAATACAATATAGACATTTAGGACCTACGAATACCGTGGGTGCTACGTCTTCCGTATCCTTCTCGAACCAACAATTACTGCAAGAGTGAAGATTCTCTTTAAATTTTCTCTTCGTAATCTTTCTTCTACCCGTCCTCACCGACCCATCTAGAATGTAAGAAGAAAGTTTACACCCCATTGTAATGAAGTACAAATTGGAGCCTAGTGCAAAGAGTTCTTCTGTCTTGATGACTTGTACACAATTATCCGTTCGAGGGAGCGCATGAATAATGGTTCTGCCAGCGCAACCCGCCAGAAAGCCCCCTTCTTCCGGACATACATGTTGAAATTGGCAATCAATAGTCTGATGATCAAGTTTTTGTCGAGAAGATTTGAGGGATGGAAATCGCAGCACAGAACATTGCGTGAATGAAACTAGCTACTAGCAAAATACTGCGTCCTCAAAGCATGTCCTTCAAAAATCCAATTTGGGTGTAATCCCAAGGCATGGACGCAGAAGTTTTACTTATTTTGATAGAATTCACGGCCACTGTTTGATACCCATATTTCTTGCCCACCTGCACTCTCTTTCCCATCTCCATTCCCCCTCCCTCTATATCCTCCCCAAATCTCATCTCCAACCCCCCATTTCCCGCTTCCACAATCCTTACATTCTGCGCCCAAGTCTCCGCACGACTAATCCCAGCATCCGTTCCTCGAAATCCTTACGTCTTCTTTGAAATTAGCGCCAGCGCAACCAATTCTCGAATTGAGCCCCATGATTTTGTCGTCCAGCCTGCGAAACATAGGTACACGACAAAAATAAGCGCCATGAGAGTTTGTGTGAGGAGAGCAGCTAGTGCCAGTCTAGTCGTGGAGCTTTTCATGCCGTAACTATAACCTCGCCTCTAAAAGTCAAACTTCCACGAGCTGGTAGGAGAGGAGTCACAGGAAAGTGCGAATGGTGTGTACCCAAATCCGTAAACCATTAGTGTGCATATGTTTGTCTCTGGCTTAGAACTAATAGATAATGAGTGTAGATCACCTTGTGTATGCCGGGCCAGAGCATCGGTTATGAGAATGCCTAAAAACATTGATATGAAGGCTTGAACCATTATTTCGGGAGTTGCTGCGTTAAATAGGTCTGGAGCATCGACAAAATATTGATATATCCAGAAACGACCCACTAGAAAGTAATCCCTTCTCTAGTATAAATTCAACGCTAGTTGTATTTGGCATATATATCGTATTATTGGTGGGCATATCTATGCTTGAAGGATATTTGTGATCGATAGGAGTTACATAATTCAACAATTTAACCCATTCAAGGTCAATTTTGATCATATCACCCACGACAGAAGCCAAGCCTGGAGATCGACTTCCATTGGCGTCTGAAATAAAAGCCCCCAAACCAGAGAAATCCCCTAAGCTCCCCGAAATTACCAAAGACACTTTGGCTTGTTGCAGGCTCCATACTTAATTCGGCAGAAATCCATCTGGCATCGACAGCGCAGGGGACAACATAATTGTGTCTTATGCTATTTTCGTTGTTTGGAAGTTTCAGAATGGCACCGATAGATGCTGGATTATTAAAATCGTGTAAGTTAACCCAGCTCATATGGATATTGTTATCTTCTTCGAAATTATTGAAGTCAAGTACAGACATCGTGATGGTATTAACATCGCCATACATAGCCGAACTATGACCGGTGAGACTTGAAGTCAACGGAAATGTTACACCTTTCGCGACACTGTTGTAATCAAAAATATTGCATTTAACTTGGACAAAGGGCTGAAGGATAGATGTTAAAGCTTGAGATAAAAGCTTAGGCTGTGATACGGAATGTCCAGGTAGATTGAGGGTTGGGATTGCGTTCCATAGGCCCTGTAAAGCTATATAGGGTCACAGCGAGACAGACGAAGTATATGAATGGCTCCAGTCTTGTGGCTCCGACGAAGCAAATTGTCGGTTGGTATTCGAAAAAGGTTCATAAAGGCTTAAATTGACCAAGTTCCCAGACGTCAATTCTGGTCCTGAGTGGAGGCCCCAAGACGACCACCTCTCCAACTCCGAAAATCCACCCGAAGGACATCTTGATTCCGTAGTGGTGTATAAAAAGTCGGAACAAATGTCTGGAGTTGATGCAGAAAAGCGTTTCTGGCCAGAATTCGCTCTGGTTTGTTGGGAAATAGACTTCGTAAGGTCCATATAGCATTAGCCATGAATTTAAATCTGGCCGCATCACAATTGCAGATGATGGCCCAACAAGAAAAGCCAGAACGAAAGAAATAATCAAAAATATTGCAAATGCAATGATCGTGAAACTCCTCTTGTGGTAAACACGAGGCATAGCCGACCAGAAAGCTCGGCGGAAGAAGAACCCGAAATTCCCTGTCTGAAATCCGGCGCCGAGGAGCCCAAATGGGAGACCACTCCCACGGGCTAAAAACAATACAACAAAATGTGACGTTATTGCCGTAACAGAGATAATGATCTATATTTCGTGAATTTTGGTTGCAAACTGCAGCGCATTGAAAAAGTTGTTTTGCCATTTTCCATCATCCACGTCACTCCAGTGTACAGATTTTACATTCAAATACACAAGTACGCCGGTAACAGCGATGGGACCGAGATGTAGGAGGAGATCAAGTAACAGAATTATTCGCCGATTTTTCAGCGCATATTTTGTAGGCTCTGCCTCGTTAAATGATACATTTTTGGATTTAGAATTAACCCGAGGCCTCGATAGTGTCAAAGCTTTCCTGGCAGGAACTAATTGCCTAACAAAATGAAGCCTGCGTTTGTACATTCTATTCTCAAAAGAATTTCAACGTAGCTGTATATATGAAAGGAATAATATGGGCCGTTGCGGCAAATTTGGTCATTCGAAGCTGTATCAGAGGACGCAAAAGAACTCAGCTCCACGAGTTTGAGTAGACGAATTCCCTTTTGGACACTCTGTAAACATATTTACCTACGCAGTCATGTTACACACCGGGGAGGGTCAAAGTCTTAAACATGCAATGTTACTCAGTGACACAGCCCTTATGACATGTAAGCATCACATCGTATGCTGCGCTTTCAGTCTTATATCAAATGTGTTGCATACTTTCTTGAGGCACAGCATTATCAGGCATTTTCTTTTTCTCAGGAAGGAATGCAAGGCTCTCTAAATAGCCTTCTTCTGAATGGATGAGAATCAATACTTTCGTGCTAAGCTGAAGCCTAATACTTCACGAGCGTAGAGAGATATTAGATCGAGAGACTTCCCATACTTGGAGGCAGTCTTGAAACAGTCTGAAATTTCACAAAGTTTATTTTCGAATAAGATTACTACTCTGATTTTTGCACAACTCGATTTCCCAGAACGCGAAAAGCGAAGGTCTTGATATACTTAATAACATGCCGTTGTGAAAGAACCTAGAAACATAAGGCGCAAGGAATAGAAATGAGCGAAGCTTCGCAGAAACAAATAGACGCATAGAAAGGGACCGATAAGAAGGGCGGGAAAACTCCCAATGACAGTGCTAAGGAAACAAGACGAGCAGGTGGAGAACAATACGAGGAAAGATAGCACTTCTATCTTGTAGGAAGATGTAAGGATGCAAATTCCTACATGATAAGAATTCGCGAGTGAAAGAACGTAAGGCAAGAGGCGACTGCGCTAGTCACGGTTGCTTCCATATTCTCCAAACCTTATTTCATCCTCACGACAAATAAAAGTGCAGGCTTGAAGTAAGAGAAAGCAAACGGCTTAAACTAAATCTTTCCTCCCTTCCCGTGCATGTCAAACGGGCCGAGAGTTATCCATACCGCAACACACAATTCATAATTCCATGCGCATTGCATGACTCGGGACATGAAGCTAAGTGTGTGATCGACAGACGCCTCCAAAGTGCGAGGTGCAACAAAATATTCGTAAACTCGCTGAAGACCCATCTTCTAAAGTGCGATGTGCAACAAATGAGCGCTCGGAGGGATGTAGAGACCCTATGATCCTTTGGGAATTATATCACCTCCAATTCGTATTCTTCATTCAAAGAGCGACGTGCGTATGCTACTAATGCTTGTGAAAATCTTGGAAATACCTGAATCCTGGAGTTCTCGGAATAAGTCCAAGAAGAGATACAACTTTGTACATTTCAAGCCCGGGATCATGCCTTTGAAGTTTCAACCTTTTTCACACTTCACTATTTATAAAAATACCATTCGACAATACCATGCCAAGAATGTACTATCTAGCGACCATACGGTATTACAAGCAGCGAGTAAATGTACCTGACGCGATAGAACTCTTCGGATGAGCTTCAAATAAAGTTGTTGATCCTCAATTAAAGTTTGAAATCCCTGAAAACAGATTTAATAAATTGAAAAGCTTAGGTTTTGGGTATGTGCGTGTAGATTTCCATATTATTCAGAGGTGTCGACCCACTGCGATTGAGATCACCCTGGATTAATTCTCATTGGGTGTAGTGACGGAGGAGTGAACTGCACTTGTCAATATTCAATGATGGCGACGACGATGATGAGGACTCTTCAACTATTGAACTGGATGATGACGGTGACGATGATGATGATGATGATGATGATGATGTTGTTGTTGTTGTTGTTGTCAAAGTGACAACCAAGATATAAGATGATGCGGTGTTGTCTTCTTGCGGTGTTGTTTTCTCATTTGTCTAAGAAAGTCGATGGGGCACTTCCCGTGACTCCCATGTGTATTCTGTGAAAAAATGTATCTGGTGCCTGAAGCTTGAACATATTGAGGATAGTGGAAATGATTGATCCACTTCATCCCACTTCCCCATGTTGATGATTAAAGGGGCTTCTTTTCTTGGCATTCTTTCTTCAGTCTCTGGATTTGAGGTGCGGTAGGATCACACGAGTAAAGGGTAAGCATGCATCTACTGAGTATCTACTCATCTCCTCTATTTCAATCGCTGTTCTTACTTTCATTGCAGGTCTCCAGCTTCAGATGTCCAATCAACCCAAACACTCATTAAGCTTAAAGGTAAATCAATGCTTCTCGTCAAAACTGGACTGGACTGGACTGGACTGAATGAAATAAGATGATATACCAAATCCCTGTGCAGATCAGACAATCGTATGTCAAAAGTCCGATGGCTCCCATCATTGCCTAGCCGATACCTATCCATCTAGACTCTACGCGATGAAAAAACCCTACATCGTAGATTTCGTAGTTCCTAAACGGGATCAAAGGGCCCTTGTCCTCTACTATTACACAGGGGAAAAACATTGAAGTAGCCGCTGTCATACAAGGACAATCCAATAAATCCAATCTTGTTTATCCAATCGGAGGTTTGTCAGATGCCCAGATATCAGTCTTATGCTTATTAGTGGAGGAGTACCTAGCAAGACAGGGGTAAAGAAGATGGCTTCACTCTCCAAGACAGGACAAAAGCCGCTGCGAGTAATGAGTAAGACGTAGATTATAAATACTCTGTCTTGCGTCTTCAGCTTCAACACCAACTTCAGATCCAACTTCAACTTCATTCCTTCAACAGAATTCCCAGCTGAGCTTCGATAAAATTAAAACTACCAAATCGACTCATTCAAGACTATACTCAAATCTTCGCCAATATGCACGCCATTTCCATCTCAACCTTTGCCGCTGCCCTTATGGGTACTGTTGTCACTGCTCAGACAACTAATGTAACAGATCTGTTCCTTATTGGATTCGATTATGATTCCAACAGTACTGACCAAGCTCCATTTGTTGGTTCTATTATTGCTTCTGTAAGTCATGTTCGTAAACCACAAAACCGCAAAACTTTTCTAACCATAATTGTTATTTAGGACGCTACTGCTACTACATACTCCATTGCCTGTGGTTCTAAAACCGCTGCTCCCGCTACCACTTCTTCCTACTTCGACGACACTTACGATTGTGGTGTTCCACCTAACTTCACCTTCACTCAGGGTCCTTCAACAATCGCTTATACCTACACAATTGACAATGCCGAAGACTTTGCTGTCACTGACAGTACTTCCGGCACATCATATGCAACCGGTCAAGCGTACGTATTCACATCACATGCTTGACAATCCAAGACTAACATTTACCCTAATAGTACAATGACACTTGGCTGCGTCCTCTCCGGTGGTTCTACTGGGGTCTGTAGCTATACCGAACTTGAAGCCTTAGCATCAACAACCTTTTCTTCCGTCGATGCTACAACCGTCAGTGGCACTGAGTACGCTGAGATTTTCACCGGTATCCCCGTTACCATCACCGCTGGTCCAGCAACCACTACCGGCTCTGCATCCGGTGCGTCCGCTTCTGCTTCGAAATCTGGTTCAGGATCTGGTTCGGTATCTGCTTCTGGATCTGTTTCTGGATCTGCTACTTCTACCGGAGGTATGCCCATGATTACCGCCAAGGCACAATGGGTTGTTGGTGGTGCCGCTGCTGCTATGGTTATGGCTGCTTTGTAATTGTTATGACTACTAGGCACTGATCATGTTGGTGTGAGGATTCGAACGTAAAATAATTGCATATTTTATGCGCCTATGGGGTAATGGCTAGTTTGAAGATTCATGTGCACATATACCTTCTAGGGAGATGGTGTTATCTTAAAAAATACTGGTAGCATGATTTCATGATTCTATAGCGTTGAGTAATGAAAATAAATATTAATATATTTTATACTTCAATGCTGGATTACTGTGATAGCCATCTGAAGTGCTTCAGATACTAAATTTGATTTGCCAGTAATAAGATTACATTATACCGAAGTTCTAGACTGTAATTGACATTCCAAACCAAAGTACTTCGACTCAGTAGCCGCTATAAATCTTTCAGCATCATCTGAACTACATCCTCATGCACAACTCAACTACCCCTCAAACGAAACACTATTCACAATTCTCATTTGAACCAAATTAGACAAGAAACCCTCCATTATCCCAAGACAATTCAATATAAATAAACCAAAATCCATTACCGCCGCGCCCCCAAATCTAAGATTCGAAAATAAACAAACTTCGCCTATCAATATTCAAATCCGCTTAACCGATTTCCCTACTATATACACGACCCTACTATATATACGTTTTTATTATTTATATAAAATATTAAATTAAATTGAATTAAAAATTAAAAAAGCAATATTATAATTTGAAATTTAAATTTGAAATAACTGAATTAAATTGGTTTAATATTTTGAAATAAAAATTTAAAAATCTCA